GTATTTATATTTGTGTACAAGCTGTTTATATTGTCAAAAAGTCTGTGTTTTTAGGGTTATTAACAAAGTTTGTGTACTCAGACCATATTTGGGGTCAAGTTTTTGCCATGGATATATTATGGGTCAGAAGACAAAAAGTTTGGGAACCACTGGTACACACTACACTCTGTGAAGCCCCCTCACAGCTGGACTGAGTCCCCTTGATGGCGCTGTATACATATGAATTAAATTAAACATGATTTATATGAAATTATATTTGTTGGCGAAGTGTTTACTTAGTAAATATGTGTACAAAACATGCAGAACTTGTATTCATTTGTCCCGTGCTCCATGTCGATCACTATTTGGTGATCAAGTCTGCACTGGATGCTGACTCCCTGTGGAGGGCTTAATAAGCCACTCACCCTCTATGTAACTGGTTTCAGATGGGACTTAATATGAACCCTCCACAGGAACACACTGAGTGAGGAGGGTGAGTGTGTAGCCACTGATGGGAAAGGCCCAGTGTTAACCCTTTGTGTTACAGGTCAGGTACGTGCAGCTCAGAGCAGCTCTGCAGGAAGGAGTCAGCTCCACCTGCAGGTCAGAGCTCCTCCCACATCCAGGTGTTCCTCTGACTCCACAAATAAACATGCAGCAAAGAAACAAATAAAGAAACTAAAACYCATCAAAATGTTTGTAAATCTGTTTATTTACAGAATAAAAACAAATGTTTAAAAAAATCTGAACTGAAATAAAAACAGCTGATCAACCTGTACAAATGTAGCAAAAATTAAAAAAATCTTATTTTTTCAACAATCCAAGACTTGCTGGTCGTCATGAGGGCAGTCCTGCAGACAGGATGCTGCCCAGCAGGGCGCGGTCCTTCAGAGCGTTTTCAACTTCTTTCTCCTGGATCTTCAGAAACACCTGCAGAACATTTGAGCAGTGACCAGGTCAACACCTGCAGTGATCAGGTCAACACCTGCAGTGATCAGGTCAACACCTGCAGTGACCAGGTCAACACCTGCAGTGATCAGGTAAACACCTGCAGTGATCAGGTAAACACCTGCAGTGACCAGGTCAACACCTGCAGTGATCAGGTC